GAGGCTTAATGGCAAGTCGATGGCTGAAGGTGAAGGTCCATGCCATGCACGGATGGCCGGAGGAGGAGGAAAGGTGTTCTTGGTGCGCCTGGGGTGCAGGGGTGACTCACGGCGGGGGGCCTGGTGGGGATGGGAGTCATCTCTCTGCAGCACAAGTGTTCTCTGCACGAACGAGGCGGCTGTCAGACAAGGTGCAAACATGCCCCAGGACAGAGTCCATGGGCCTGTGATCTTCTTCCCGCCGACCTGGCAGGGCTCTGAGGCTTGGACCTCCTCCCTGTGCCCCGGTGTTTTGTCTTGGTGACTCCCACCAATCACTGCTTGTTGGAGGTCTCCTCCCTGTCCTGGACCAACATCTTATTTCCTTGTGTCTGCTTTCCATTATTTCCCCTGGGTTGTCCCTCTGGATACTCTTCTCCCGAGGGTGGTCTGTTCAACACCGACTGCTCCCCGCTACGAGGTGTGCGTCTCGAGGGCGGGGACTGTGCCCAAAGCACCTGCGACGGGAGCCCCCATGCCAAGCACAGCCCCACTGCCTGGCCTAGACCTTGGCAAGCATTTCCGTCAGCATTTATACCTCTGAGCAGTGAAATGTCCTACTGGCAGTCCCCTGGCCATCTAGGGATGGAAACAGAAGCTCAGGAGCTGGGCAGAGACTAAGAGGACCCTCGTTTTCCGGGTAAGGAAACAGGGGAGGGCAGCGTCACTCACTGAGCTGGGGGGCAGCTGGGAACGGAGCTCAGAGGTCTGGACTCCCGGTCCCAGTTCTTGTAACAACTCCGGGCTGTCTGAGGCCATGTGTGTGCCAGACCTGGGGGCGGGGAGGAGGCCTGAGGGGAGGCACGAGGGTACAGAGCACCCAAAGGCTCTGGGGCTCCATCACCCTTGCAGCTGGGAATGAAGGAGCCTGAAGGGCACAATCCATTAAGCACCTGACTCCTGGTTTCAGCTTGGGTCATGATCTCGGGGTCTTGGGATCTAACCCCATGTCGGGCTCAATGCTCAGCTCGGAGTCTGCTTGGGACTCTCTCTCAAATAAACAAATAAATCTTAAAAAGAAAAAAAGAAGCTGCTCACAGCATGCTCACGGCAAGGAGGCCACTGAAGGGTGAGCTGTGTGGGTTCCCATGGCCGGGTACCCGGCAGAGTGTGGGGTCATTGGCAGGGGACCTGGGGGCCACTGCATGAGCTAGTCCCAGGGTGAGCAGCTCCCCTTCCGAGCCCCTTGGTCTGATTAACTCCCTTCCCCTTCCAAGAAACCTCTCAGGGCCCTGGGTCTGGGGGAGGTGCCCCTCCTTGGGCTCCTCGCTTTAGAGCACCCCCAACCCCCAGGGCACCACAATCACCCAGCTCAGAGCTGGGACTCTGGGTGCATTTGCTGACTCACAGGCTGCAGTTTGATTCACTGACTCTGTGAGGAGGAAGTGCTGGTTCGACCCCACCTCCCAAGGTCATGGCCAGTGAGAGCACCGCAGGGTACCTCTTCTGCACCTGCTCCTGCCTCCTCCCGTTCCTGCAGAAGCCTGTGGACCCTGCAGCCTGCACCCCAGATGCCAAGCCAAGCTGGTGTCTCCGGAGCCACCTTGCTACCCCACTGGTTCTAGAACCCTCCTCCCAGCAATCTGGCACCCAAAGGCTGTGTTGGGGCCATTCACAAGAATCTCTCAGAAATCCTCCCCTAGGACTCCAGGCTGTGAGAGTTAAAAAGAAGACCCGGGTTTATCACTGACTTTTCCTTTTAATGGTTTTACAGTGACATGAAATGCTTTTGTTTCCTGAGAGAAGAGGCATGTTTCAAATGAATTATTAACCAAAAAGAATTGGCCGTGAGCAAGAAATCCTCCATTGACTCTGGAGACAAATGCAGACAGACAGCTGGCTGGCAAGATGCTATCTCTTACCGCCCCTGGCAGAGGTCAGCCCGGGCAGCGGCAGGGGCCATCTGCTCCCCGACACAGCTCTAACTTGGGCTGCCCCCTTCTCCCTCCACCGAGGGGTTAAGCCTCTCCCACACAGGCCTCCTTTCAGTCCAGTTCTGGGAGTGTTGACCTGTTTCTGCCTCCACTTGACCCTGAACGAGCCCCCTCCAGTCACTGTCTGTCCTTGTGGGCTGGGATGACGAGGGCTGGAGGGCTGGGTCTTCTTCCCCTGTCCCGGGGCCGGCGGGGGGCTGTGGCAGAGCGGACACCGTGCTCGGAGTCCTCGTCTCTACGTCTGCCCCCGGCACCCACTACGTCCTCCCTCTGCCCTGTGCCCTGGGAGGCTGACGCCTACCACTGCGTGTCCTGGGCGCCCCTGTTCCTCAGGTTTGGTCAGTGAGAGGCACCCTCAGGAGACGAGGGAGGGTGGAGAGGGTGGGCTGTGTCTCCCCTACCTTTCCTGTTTGGGGGCTCATCTCCATCTGTTCCAACCACAGCTCCTGCTAAGCGGCCCCTCTTGAGTCTCAGGCTCCCCAGGCTCTCTAGTTCCTGTGGCACCATTTCCTCCCCTTGTCCTGGTCCTCAGGGCGCTGATGGCCCCCACTGCTACTGGTCCTGGAGTGCTTCACCCACCTTTATTCCCAGGACCAGCCCGAACTCCTGGAGGAAGCCCCGCCCACACCCCCCTGGATGGGAGCCACGCCCACACCCAGGGAAAGAGCCCCGCCCACACCTCTGGAAAAGAGCTTCGCCCACACCCCTGGAAGGGATCCGCTGAGCCATGGGGCCTGAGTTCTGTGTCTTTCCAGGCCATTGACAGATCCCGGAACCAAGAGCTCAGAGCCTGTGGACGGGGACAGAGGACAGACAGGAGGCCCCTAAGGCTGCTCTGAGGGGAGGTGAAGGTGCACCCCCACACGCCCTCCTGGGAGACCCCCAGCTCCGCTGAAACCAAGCCCACCACAGCCACAGTCAGCTAGTAAAGTGACTTAGCTCTCCTCTTGCCCTCCTGATGTTGGAACAGACAGCACGTTTCTTCAGAAGTTTGGGGCAGACAGGGAAGTGACCTGAGAATGCTGCCTGTCTCTGAGGGGAAGGCCAGTGGGAGGGGCGTCCTTGAGGGGACAGTGGCCCCCTCCCTGGCAGGGCTACTGGTGAGTCTTGGATGCTCTTCCTGGCAAACCTCCAGTAGCTCCCTTTGCCTTCCGAGTCCCAGCAAGCTGCTCACCTTGGTGGACCAAACCCCTCCCCCATCAGGCACACCCTCCAACCTCATCTCCCACAGTCCAGGAGCTTCCTGGTGTCCTGGCGCCTTTGCTCACACGGTGCCTTGGTCTGGAAAGCCTCCCTGCTCTGCTTCTGAAAAGCCTCCTCCCACAGCAGCAGGCTCTCAGCTCAAATGCTCTATCATCTGGATCCAAGTTAGCCATGACACTTCTGGGCACTGCCATAGGCTGCCAGAAGCCTCCCATAGCCTCATCACCACCCGCCTTGTACCGTGGTCATGGTCATGTGCATATCTACCCCCCACCGCCCTTCAGTCAGGTGAGCTGCCCACAGGCACAGTCTGGATCTTATCTGTCTCTGTCCTCAGAGAGCCCGGCACACAGTAGGTGCCCATGAACCACCTGGGAATCTGGCTGGCTGTGTCCCTGGGGAGTCTCCCAATGCATCTACCTTGGTTTCCAAGGCCAGGCCTCCCCCTGAACTGCAGGGTCTGGGAGACTCGGGCCTTTCTGTCCCCGTCCTCCTATCTTCTAAGGAGCACAGCCACGCCCCAGGTACCCGGGCGCCCTTGAGGAAGGGCAGCCCGGAATAATGAGGTCTGTTCTTCGCTCAGTATGAGTGATACAGAGGCACGGTCAGGGCTGGGCTTTGGAGTCATGTTCAAATCTGGAGTCCACTGTTCCCTGGTTGTACCATCCTGGGCAGCTCCCTTCACCCCCTTTGAACGTGGTTCCTCGTCTGTAAAATGCAGCAGATTGGAAAAAGGTGTGACAAAGATGAACTAAGGGAATGTTAGGGGGCCCAGGAGCCCCCCCCACCCCTCCCCCACTTGCTGGAGATACTGGGCCACAGCTCCTCCCTTGTGACTTGCCATGGTTTTTGGACATTATCTGGCAACTTGAGAGCAGGGGGTGGAAGGGGCTCTTGGCCAGGACGGAGATCCCCAGGGCTTGGCCGGTCCACCTGGAGCTGCTGTGCCTGGGCCCTGTCCTCCTCATGTCTTGCCATCTGGCCGGTCCCCCTCCGTGCCTCGTTGTCAGACTTTTAACCTGATATTTTACTCTTTCTGCTTTTGAATTATTCAAGTGAAATCACATAGAACAATGAATCAAAAGGATAAAGTGAAATAGTTTAGATGTTACGAATGTTCTTAATAGACACCCCCTAACTTTGGGCCTCTGGGAAATTTCAAAACCTTTATTAGAAATATAATGAACAATGCCTAGGACCTTTAGGTGTTTTTGCAACATTTTTGTTTGTCTTTTGACTCTATCTTCCCCCGAGTTCTGGGGAAGCTGGGGTGAGGGGGGCATTTTTTTGGAGGCCGGGCAGCCTGGAGGTCAGGGGACCTATGGGGGAGCTGCTATGCCATAATTCCTGTGGGGGGAGGAGGCGTTCACCCCACGGCCCATTCTACCAGACTTAGGGGCCCCAGATATAGCTTAAACCTCCTCAGACCCCAAAGACAGCCACACTCCGCTGCAGACCCCAGCTCTACAAGGCGGGTGGTGACTGGTGATCATTTTTGAAAGGCAGAGTGAGTTGGTCCTTTGTTGCATTTAGAAGCCAAACCAATACGGCGCCTCTCTCCAGTGGCTCCATCCCCCACCCTGCAAGAATATGCGGACTCCCGGGTCCTAGGCGCCTGGAGTGAGGTCCCCAAGGCAGGGCCTGTTACTTCCAGGTGGGGTCACTATAGATAGATAGATAGATAGATAGGCATTCACTATACATTTTTTCTGCTTATTAAGTGCTTAACAATGTTCAAGGCTCGAAGACACATGTAGGGGTGGACAGAGCGGCCTCCAGCCCGGGCAGAGCCCCCTCCAGGCTCAGAGCCCTGTGAGCACTCACCTTTTGATGGCTTTGTAGCAAATGATGACGAGCACAGTGAGAAACACCAGGGAAGCGCAACATACCGCGATGACGATGGCCAGCCCCGACCACCAGCTTTCCTCCACGGGGCACGAGGTAGAGTTGGGGGCTGAAAGACAGTAACACGCTGAATCTCCCTAGGGTGGGAGGAGCAGGTGGTGGCTGCGTCAGAGGGGGACCGTTGTGGGTGACACGAAGGGTGTGGCCTCCCCCTCATCCGTCCTCCGCCTTTCCAGGCTGAAGGCTCTGGGACCTGTCCCGCCGTCTCCACCCCCACGCCGGTGGCAGGTGACATCATGGCTGGCCCCCCGCCAGACACGTGCTCTGAGCAGGGGTGAAGCGCCGAGGCCCGGGCCATCCATCCTCCCTTGGCATGAGCTAACTGACAGCAGGGTCAGGTTTAATTTCCCATGAAAAATAACAGAACATCGTCATTCTCTCAGTTGAGGCATTAAATCCACTTCTCCCAGGGTGGGGGTGGAGCAGGACTCCCAGGGCGCACCGGGCAGGAGGAAGGAGAGAAAGTGTGGGAAGCCGATTCCTTCTAAGAGGCAGGCGCTGTCCCTTCTTGGATTTGGCCCACGCAGTGAGGACCGGCAGCTGCCTCCGTTTGCACGGGTGGCCAAAATCTGGAAAAGTCGTCACTGACAAAGCATCTGACCCTGGATGCCATTGGGCCTTTTGGTCATTACTCAATCCATGGAGTCTCTGGGGGGTGAACCTGTCCTCCCCCTGCTTCACTCTTCTGAGAAAAGCAGAGACATCACACAGCCTCATCCCAGAGGCTCTGAAAGGTCCAGACACAACTGGAAACAAGTGCCACGAATTGCAAAAGAAATTTGGGAGGTGGGAGGAAAGGGCAAAGGAAGAAGGGAGAAGCGGGAGGGAGGGAAAAGGAGAGGGGGCTGGTGAGGAATTGAGGGACAGATGGATGGACAGATAGACACCTACTAGCTGTGGGCAGGTCTTCAAGACCAGTGATTGTATGTAAAGGATCCAAACCGTGCCCCAGGCTCTGTGCGCACTGAATGACAGATGCCTTCAGGGGCGCCACAACACGTGGGGAATAAATGAATGATTTCCCAAGGATACCACAGATGGCTTCATCTCCATCATCATTCTTGGCATGGACGTTGTTGCCGTAATCATCGAGGTGTAAATCCCGTAGGGGACTCTCACCCATCGGAAGTGTGTGGTCTGATCAGCTTTGACAAATGCGTCCACCTGCCTGAGCCACACCACTATCATGACATAGAATATTTCCATCACCCCAGAAACTCCCCCCAGGCCTCCTTCTAGTCAATCCCTGCCCACAGGCCACCACTACTCTGCTTTCTTAAATCATCAATTAGATTTGCATGTTCTTGAAAGTCAGAAAACGGAACCAGGCAGTGTGTATTTTTTTGCTCCCTTTGTTCAGCAAAATGTTTTTAAGATTCATCCACAAATTTCTATAGTTCCTTCTTTTTTCTTTTTTTCTTTTTTTCTTTTTTTAATTGCGGAGTAGTATTCCCATCTGTGAATAAACCACAATTTGTTGTGGATTCCTAGGCTGTTTTCAGGTTTTGACTTTTGTGGCTAAAGCTGCTAGAAACAATTGCATACGTGGTATAGACATGTCTTCATGTTTTTCTTGACTAAACATCTGGTAGTGGGCTCACTGGGTCCTAGGGGGTGTGTGCGGGTAGCTTTATAAGGAGCTGCCATGCTTGTTTTCCCAAGTGCTTTTTCCCTTGCACATGCCTGCCGGGAGTGAGGAAAGAGGAACCGGCAGGGTGTGTGGTTATGGGTTATGGAGTTGTTACCAGACTGTGGCATTGGCGCGAGCTGGGCAGGGAGATGCAGAAAGCCATGGTGGGTTTTGCAAGGAACAGGTGCTAAAGCCCCATTAACAAAGGCAAGGTCCCCAGATGTGGGGCTCAGCTCAGCACACAACCAAGCAGATTCAGAAATGCTTCCCGAGAGATGCCCAGGACAGGGATGTCACCAGCCACTCAGCCAGGGCAAGATCAGGCCTTTAGGAATCCCAACAATTGAGAAGATACGGAATAGGAAATTCAAAATAGGAACAAACTCTAAAACAAGGGAAAGGAGATTCAAGAGGATTCTCATTTTTGTCGTGATGAATTTCTTCAGGGTTTTGTTTTGTTTTTTTTTTTTGTGAAATAGTAAACACAAACCTTTCTTTCCCCACCAAGAGAAGCCTGGTTCCCTCCCTCCTCCCCGCCTAGTTACTCGTTTTGGGGTGTCCCTGGCTTAGCCGAGTAAATCCAGGCCCCATCTTCCTTACAGTGATCACTGCAGGACAGTCTGAAATGCAACAGGGGTTGAATTCATGGGGTCTCAACCCCAAAAGGCTTGCCTCCTTGTTTTCATTGCAAAGGGAAGTAATTTTGGTTTCTGTCGATTCTATCCCAGGCTCTAACACTTCGGGGCCAAGTCTCAAGGGGACCTTCACACCTGCCCACCAATGGCCCACAGGTGGCTGGGGCTCACATCACCAGTGTGTATCCTCAGCCGGGGGCAGTCCCCCTCCAGAGGGCACTTGGAAATACGGGGTCGAGGGCTGTCTCTGGTTGCCACAGTAAGTAAGCCCAGGAGCTCCTGAAAACAACAGTGACCGGGATATTCACTCCTACAAGGTAGAATTGTCCCTCCAAAAATGCCACCAGCGCCTTTGTTGAGAAATCCCATCAACTGGAAACAGAAGGGTTGATTCTAACCCTCATCTGGAATTTGACACTCAATCTCCGAGCGCCTCTTGTGATGGTCTTTACATCCAATGGTAACGAGGGGGTTTCCTTCCTGCCTGCGGTTTTCAGACACAATAGACACAGAAAGTGGGGAGTCTGATTTGAGAGGGTCCATCTGCTTCGGGGCCCCGGTACGATGCGGCAGTGCACTGCTCAGCACACACATGTGGGAAGCTACTCAAGGCAGGAAGCTAATGCATATGAAAAGAGGGAGGAATTTTGTGGATCTAGTCCAGGGCATAAATCTTGGATTTTGCCAAGAAAACAGCTCTTGTTTGTGTTCAAAGAATGCACCCTTCTTTATCCTAGCTCCAGTCATTCTTTGTGCATTAGGAAGGATCAGGGACTGTTGGAGCTGGAGGAAGGCTAAGAAGTGTCATTTCAGGAAAAGGACAAGCAGGGACACTGGGGATCAAGAAACATCTTTCGCAGGGGCAGGGTTGGGACACCAAGCTCTTCCTGAACTTCCTTCCTACGGTGTGGCCAGTACTCCCTTGCAGACGTGACAGGCTTAGCACGTGAGCAGACCGATGGTGCATATCTGAGAAGGTAGCATCATCAAGGTGCTTATTCATTCCTTCGTTCCTTCATTCGTTTGTTCGTTCCTGCATCCACCAGCCATTTACCGAGCACCTGCATCCCTGGCACCATGCCGGGATCTGGGAGCGCAAAGACGGATTCTCTAGAAACTGTGCCCTTACCAGGTCAGGAACCAGCTGCCCGCGGCTCACTGCGGGGCTGGCCAGAACCTGGCTGACTTGCTCAAGGAGTCAGTGGGCTCCAACAGCCGAGACAGATGTTAGGATTTGCTAATGTGCAAGTGAAAGTCATTGCGGCTGAGGGGAGGAGGCCATTCGTGCTAAGGATCAAGGGGTAAGGCGATGTCTACGAGAGGCAGGTGGTCACAGGGGAAGGCTGAGACAAGCAGGGTGGGAAGTCCCAGACTGGAGGCTGCTGGCGCTCCCTCTGCCCCTCCGCCCACCCCCCTTCCTCGGGTGCCAAGATTCTGCAAACACTGACAGAAAGGCAGGAGCTGTCCTGACCTCAGTCCTGACGACTCAGGGGTCTTAACACCCTGTCTCCTGGGACTCAATAAGGCTCAGCCTGCTGGATTCATTAAACTCTCTTGACATCCATAAAGATGATAAAAGTGACAACCAGAGAGCACGACATAGAACCACCCGGGCTCAGTCTTGCTTTATCAAAGGCGCTGCTTTCTTTCCAGTCAAGGAATGCATCATTTAAACTTCTATTTGGGGGACGCTCGGGGTGGCTCAGTTGGTGGGGTGTCCAACCCTTGGTTTTGACTCAGGTCCTGATCTCAGGGTCGTGGGATCGAGCCCCATTCGGGCCCCTCACTCAGCGCGGAGTCTGCTTGGGACTCTCTCTTCCTCTGCTCGCCCCCCCCACCCCGTTCACGCTCTTTCTTTAAAATTAATCAATCTTTAAACAAACAAACAAAACCCTTAGTTTGGGGACTTTTGCTTCCAGCTAAGATGTAGTAACCGGGCCAGATTCGCTGTCTTCCACATGCCTGAAACATCCACAAAATATGGTTTTCAAAAGAGCAGACCTCAGGGCAACAAAGCGTGCAGATCTCTGAAGGACAAGAAACGAAGAAGGGGAGTTCTGGCTGCCCCAGCTTACTGCCCGAGAGTTCGCCAACAGCGGAAGGGAGAAGCCAGCCGGGCCCAGCCCACTGGGTGAAGTCGGGGAGATGGAGCCTAGATTCTAGGGAGTGAGCAAGTCCAAGGAGTGGGGTCCCCACCAAGGGGGAAAACCAAGAGCCTATCAGGAAATCCACCAACGATTATATAATTCCAGGAGCGGCAAGTGCTAGAAAAGAGATGAAAAAAGAGGTCAAGATTCCCCCACACCTTGTGGAAGTGTCTGGAAAAGGAGCAGCTGTGGACAGAAGTGAACAGAATCAAGGAACCTGAGCAGACCAGCGAGGTTCCTGTGGGCTGGTGGCCCAGTGCCCCAGGGGAGCTGTAGACATCGGGCAGGTCCCCCCAGGTGCTCTCAGTGACCACAGCCTTCCCTGTATTGCTTGCGGGTTTCTGTGACCATGAGATGGGACAGCAGAGGCAAGGTTCTCGAGGACACCGAGAGAAACAACCATCATCTGCTGAGCCCCGATTCCGAGGCACATGACTAAGTCACAGCAGTACAGAGCCCACTGATACCCTCTTTTGTAAGTGGGGGAACCGAGGCTGCACAGCCAGCGGAACAACCAAGATTTGAACCCAGGTGTGCTTGCGACAGCACTCACAGTCAACTCAACACGTACTAATGTGTGACCCGGGACCTGCCACTTGTGTCTCCCCGGCTGGCTGCACACAGGAGGTGCTGGATG